ACCACGCTACTCTGAAACAGTCACACACAAGACATGCTGAACCAACAATGACTGCTACAAGACACACACCTCGGCTGCTCCCCTCTGGCTCTTCCCTTTGTTACGCCTGAGACACGACCAATCAGACCCCAGGGCAGCCAGCAACACCTTGTCTTATCTCTAGCCAAGTTTGCCATCATGTGGCCAGGAATATATTGATCGCCGGCGCCGGATACGAGTGCGCGAACACCCTCTCTAACCAAGATTTCCGCGCGTGTGTCGAATGGACCCTGATGTCTGCCTGGCGTCGCAAGCACCCTCCCTTATCGCCCGGCGAGGTAAGTGGGTTTCGATACACCCTCCTGGAGTATCAAAGTGAGACTTGCATTTGCGCAACTGCTAGTGTATTCCAAGGTTGCGCAAAGATGTCATTCCGTCGCGGTTGATTTCAAATGTGCAATACTGAGCCACAAAGCCACTTTCTTACATACATGACCTCAGCCCCGGAGTGAAACCAGGACGACATCATCGTCAGCTGGACTGGGGCCCTGGTCGGATGTTGCTGATGACAGTCAGGATGCTGGGGGTCGTTTGCCCATGACGTCTTATCGTCAAGGTTCACGACGGCAGAATTCTGATCTTCGTCAGGGAGGATTCCAAGGTTGCGATGCGGGGCAATGATGGCAGACGTCAGGGTCCAGGCAGGAATCTTGGAATCTCACATGGGACGATGGAAGTCAAGGGTCTGCCAAGTTGGGGGCGGGCGACGGAGGTACCGTGATCGGTGGTGTTCGAGAATATGTTTACTGTGATGGTTGCCTTGGTAGGAGATTACTAACAGTGGCCTGGATGGCTGGTAGCGATGGAATGTGGTGTTGCGGGGTACTTGCGCTGAACGGCAGCCGGCAGATAGGCAGCGGCCTCGCCGGCTGTGCTCGATCTTCAGCGCCGTCTGCCACAACCAGAACTCAATAGAAATTCTCGCCACTACCAAAAATACAACCCTGAATCCAACGGCGATATTGCCACAAGTCGAAGGATCTCAATAGTAGGAGCCTCACGATAATAGCAACTGTCTCGCTTCTTCCCGCGACACGAAGATCGAACGAGAATGTACGAACGTTATTGCGCGTCCGCCGCAGAACGACCGAGTTAGCAATATCGGACGTCACATATCGTCAGCACATGTTTGTCATCGAGCGATGATGGAAAGAGTAGACTGCAAACCTCAGGAGAGATGGAGAATTGATGAGCTGCACTTCGCACTGTCCAGCCCAAAGGCCCCGCCAACCCCTCATACTAGCCAGACCTGATAGCGACATCTACAATCCAGAACACTTCTCCATCTTTATCGCGCATTGACAACTGTCCCAATATCGCGGCAGCTACCTGTTCTGATCAAGGACGTTCCCGACTGCGCATCCCCAGAGACCGTGGGTGATGCCGGTAACCGCACTCCAGCCAGCCCCCAGCCCCACCCTGTCTATAATCCGGATGAGCTCGTAACTGGCCAGACGAGCACAACAACGACAGTTCAACGAATGCGCGACTCCATCATGGATAATTGTCGATTGCATATGATATGCATATTCTTATTCTCCAGTGGAGCAGGCCGCGACTCCATTGTCACCGGTCAATATGCAGCTAGCCCTCTAGTCGACGTCGTAGTAGGTGCAGCGCGCATGCATTGCAGCCTCACCGGTCAACCAGAACGAGTACCTGCACGAAACCCACAGCACGCCGGTCTCGAATCAACCATATCATCACGCTCCTGCATCGTCGGAGCTGCCCGTGTCAGTGTTTCAGGACAAAAGCAGTGCGCAAGCTGTATTGCCAGCTCACCAGCTCCCCCGCATTTACCAGGAGCTGCCCTTTGCCCATCCGGCGAGGCTGCTCTTGCTGGCCAACGTGTCTAGCTGGATTCCGTGTTCGTCGACTCACACACAGAACAGCGCGCCAATATTCACCCTCGTCCGAACCCAACCTCATCCCAACCACCCGATCCGAAATGCTTCCCCACAGTCCAATACTTTAGTATTTTCTAATGTAGTCCGGTGCAAATGTCAACGTGTCGACCTCGCTTGCTGGGGTCCTGCCCCCGAGGAGTCATAGCGGCCCTGCCCAACTGTGGACTTTGGTGGTCAATCTTCGCCTGCTATGGGCCCGTAGCCGAGTATTGATGGGTACGTCGCTGCGTTGGACAGGGCTACGCTGGTCGCAGGTACTGGCAGAAAAAGTGTAGGTGATTGGGCAATGGCTTGGTCGTAGAGGTAGGTGTTCGGTGGTCGATGCGTGGTGGTTTGTCGCATGTCCGCGTGTTGCGGCGGGAAGCTGTCGTTCGGTGGGTGGTGGTGGTGGGTGAGGCGCAGCACCGCGTTCACAGGGCTGAGCCATCAGATGTCGTCCAAGGCGTCAAGCCACTGCTTCGATGCATAATCACCGGTCAGAACACCATCGCACCTGATCCTGCGGCTGATGAATACGATAGCAAACATGCGAAGACGGCGCCCTCCGACACGCATTTGTAATTCGTAAGACGGACCCCCCCATCTCCCCATCGCAAAACGGCAAATGCGACAAACAACCATCTCAAGACCTCCCTCCCTAGGGGGCCAAGTCTCGTATTACCGCCTAGTCTCAGGTACCGCCGCCGCGCCAGCGCCAGCCTTATGGCCCCCATCCCATCGCGCCATCGCATCCTTCCTTCCTCCCGTCGATTTCAAAAATAGCCCCCCGACGTTCATGCGCCGCATGCTGCGCCGCCTCCATGTCTGTTTCGACATCAAACATTCTGCTGAGCCAATCGCAACACGCTTTTCTGCCAGACATGGGTTCAGTTCCTGAGATGTGCGAGGCGCCAGGTACGCGTCGTCAGGGTCGCTTTATTGGGGTGCAGTCGCTGGGGTAGATTGCGTGAATGGTATGAGGATGGGGCTGGAGGGGTTGGGGGTTGAGACAAGAGAGGTGGTATGACGACCATGGTAGTGAGGGTATGGAAGAGGTGTAAGGTTGCCTTGAATGCTGATGTGGACAGATTGCGAAGCTCTCGTTGGATCATACTCGGATGCTTGCAACGTGCAGATGCTACTTTGGGGCAGGGAGCTTTTCACTCTTATGCGATCACCATGCGGATTCGAACGTCTTCCATGCCTTACTGCTGTGCCTGACATCTGAGAGGCGCCACGCTTGATGTCACAGAAGGATGACTGCACTCGTTGACGACACAGGCCATCGGAATTGTACGAGTAAACGCCAGACATTCCACATGCAAGAAGAAACGAAGGTCCTGTCCTGCATGAATGGGGTACTCGAGTACTCTCTGGCGAATTTGGGAGGGTTTGTGGGGTCGACAGTATCGTTGCATGACGTAGCTTATTCCGGCATCGGCCCCCGATGTATTGTGACGTTGAGTTAGCTCTCGAATTAAGCCTTTCAGTTAACTGGATTGTGATTAGTTTTGCGCGTTGTCTCCGTGAATTCTTAGTGTTTCCGCCTGTCCGGCATCTTGAGGCGACTGGATCACAACACTAAATGCGGGGAATTTGCAAACGATCTCAAATTGACTATCAGATATCTTACTGTACTACTATTGTATGTACTGCCGTTGAAGTGTGGTCTGATATCATCTGCAAGTACCAATAGAATACTGCAGATGAAGTACTATCCAGCTGACTGCTTAAGGTGGTCGCTGCAAGGTCATGAAGTAAACACAACTTAGCCTGAGTGAAGTACTATCCTGCTGACTGCTCAGGTCGTCACTTCAAGGTAACAGATCAAACACAATTTACTTGAACGAAAGGTGTTTGTGTGGGGCAACTTGAATGTCTGGCTTGTCACCGCAAAACATTGACACCACGGCAATTCCAACTCCGAAAGATGTATAAAAACCCTCGTCCGCCGCTGAGCTTGGTTTCCACCACAAAGAACAGAACCACTCTGCACACCAGAAGCTTCATTATCACAACTACATTACTCTACTCACGATCTACAACTCCTAAGTCACAATGTTGTCATTGTCCTGGATGGCATGCCTCACCGTTCTTCTTCCCTTGGCTACCGCCGCGTGCTGTGACGACAAATACGGTAGATGTCTTGATGGCACTCATATGACACCATGCTGCGGATACGGAAAATGCAACATCTTCTGCTGCGCCTGCAAAGGCGGCTGTCGTCACAGGAGACGGGCCCTTCCCGAGGCATTCGAATTGGATGATCGTTCGGACGCTACCGCGACTGCTTTCATGGAAGCTGATATGGAGGATACGGGCAGTATCACTCTGGACCGCTATCTGGAGTATATGGCGGTGGAGGGAGACAGTGAGATATGGGTCAAGTGGTTTAACGAGTAAGTGCTAAGTTCCTTCTTGTTGCTATTGGATGTGACGTTGACATGACAAAGGCATGACACGAACAACGATGGTGTCATTACTATCGACGAAGCTGCTTAAGATCGTCAGCCATAAGAAACGCGGTTCTAGCTAAGAATCAAGAGGGCTTTCGGGATGATGCTGTGGAGTAAGCAGGGGATAGCGTAACTAAGAGACGGCTCAGGTATGCGCACTTCAGAGAGAAGCATCCAACACTCATTTAGACAACACACATTCATATACACAATACATTCATTCCTGCATCGTCGAGTTGAGACTCAATTGAAGACCTGGAAATGCGCGCCTACGCGGTTCTGCTGGTTGATAGTGAGGACGTCTCGGAGACATGCACTTATCACAATTACAGCATCTCCTAGCGCCTCTAACACACCATGGTGCTTGGTGAGGGTATAATGTTACAGATTACTATTGTGACGGCTGAATGCTGGACATTGAATACAGGTATTAATTGGTTGTGCATACCCTGCGGCACTGACGCAGACAACCCGATATACATGAAGAAATGCGTCGTTCAGTCGGCACCGATATCCTGATGGGTTTGGCAGACCGAGTGCCCACATATCATGCATTGTCCGATCGGAATGTGCTATGGTGCTCCTACACAACCTGGCCGTACGGTGCCCTACCATCAAGCTAAAAGTATCCCGGCTGCAAATGCTGGAACACCCCACTCGGATCGTATTTTTTCGAGACCTTGTTCAGCCTAGCCACGTTTTCCGCGCCGTAGCCCGAGATGACAGGCTGGTAAGGACTACTATACGGCATGTACATGTAGTCATTATACGCACCCAGCTCCTTCGCCATGGTAACCGATGCGCTCAGGAAGTCTTGCGCTGCTTTCAAGACCACCTTGTCATCCTTCTCGTCCGTCCAAGACAGGTAGAAGAGGGCGTGGAATAGAGGGCCGTCTTCTGGCCGAAGACCCAGCGCATTGCCGCCCTTTTTCTGCATGGCTGCAATGGCGGGTTTGCTGAAGGCTTGGAACGTGACACTGGGCGAACCAACGGGGATACCCGGCGCGGTCTCGAAAAGATGGTCTGTCATACGCTTCATCAACTCTGTGTTTAACTTGAAAGACTGGGACCACATAGTCGTGCGGAAGCCGTCTGGCATGCTTTGGCTGAGACCAGGGGTTGTGTCGGCCAGACTGCAATTACGAGTGTTGTCGGTGAGTGGAGGTACCGCGAGGTATTCCTTCAGTATAGCGGGTGGGTTCGCTGGGTCGACCGGCTCGAAATACTCGTACTCAGTCGATGCAATCTTGACGCCACGAGAGTAAGCGACGGCAACAAAGTGGGCGGCCTTGGTATCGGTCTCAGCTGCCTCAACTGTGTTTCCAAACGCGTCGAACAGGGCAGGCGCGTAAGTTGCGTTGTACTGGCGTTTGCTCGCAAACATAAGACCTTGAGGTAGGGTTTCGTAGTTGAATGCCGTGATCACGCCGAAGTTGTTGCCGCCGCCGCGAAGGGCCCAATAGAGGTCTGGGAAAGTCTTTTGGCTCACAGTAAGGATGATACCCGAAGCGGTGACGAGCTCATATGAGGCAATGTTGTCACAAGCTAAGCCGTACTCGTTGGTGTGGTGACTGATACCTCCGCCGAGCGTGAGTCCGCCGACTCCGACATATGCCGCCTATTAGGCATCAGTAACGAACTCAAGGTATTGAATTTGATCATTCGACTTACTCGTCCACCAACAATGGCAAGATTGTAGGGCGTCAGGTAGTCGTATACCTCCTTCCATCGGTTCCCAGGGCCGACGGTAAAAGTCTTCTTATCCGTAGAGAGTTTCTTTTGGTTCAGGTTGACCATATCGACAGTGATGCCACCTTCAATGCTAGATGCACCGGGAAAGGCCGCATGGCCTCCGCTTTTGACTGCGAAAGGACATGTTGTGAGACGTGCGATCAGTACTAGGCTCGAGACATCTAGGGCGGTACTAGGCTTGAACGTGCAATGAGGTTCGACTTCGAGCTGCTGTATAGACCAGTACGTTGTTGGCGCAGCGCTGGATACCTTCGCCGCTCCAAAAACGAGCTTGAGGGAGTTGCACTTTCCGAAGCTAATTAGCGGAAGATGGGTAAGATTGGGTAAATGAAACCTACGGCAATGGAGCAGCCCTTCAAGGAGGATCTGGCCGCCAGACCAGCCAAGGCGGGGATGGTAGACACGTTGATGCCGTTGTCAATAAGAGCCTCCGTCACATTGAAGTCAGCCGGCTCGAAGACATCCTGAGTTGATGCTCCAGCTGCCACCGCAAGAGCGCAAACGCATAGTTGATGGAAAAGCTTCATGACCGCTGAGGTATAGCCGCGCACCCAAGGGATCAAGATCGGGACTTCTGCGGCCTATATGTGAAGGGACAGGCCATCGATCGCAGGAGACAAGCCTTTTGTAGTCGTATCCAAACCCGCGGAGCCCCCAGGGCGAGTAATGAGACGGCTCGTACGTGTCTAGAAACGCCGTTGCGCGTTTTCTATGCGATATACAGCGCGTGTTAGTGAGATCATATAAACTGTCCAATCGCGAGTGTTCACATCGTTACTTCTGCAGGTGACGGGCGGCAGGCCGCGAACCGAGATGCCCACAGTATGCAAGTCGCACATATTGCCTCGCGGAAGTAAGGAGCAAGCACAGTCCCTGCAGGATCCTGTACCTAGATGGTGCGACTTGTATGCCTGGCTAACTTTGAAGGGATTGCACTTTTGATCTTGGGCACTGAGCCCCTCTTCTTCGAGAGATGTCTTGTCGGGCGCTAGGAACGATACGCATCCAAAGTGCATCTCTTGCGCCCATTGTCAGATCGAAGACAGTCAGTTGACGCATCCTGTAAGGGAAGCAAGGAATCGGACTGCAAATGTTGATGCAAAGAGAGACGGAAATCGGGTTGGGACGGCTCGGTTCCGTGCTCCGCCACTAGCGCGGCTTGGCATTGCGGCGCGGTCTGCGGGTGAACCTAGCCATCGGTTCTCCACGAATCCTTCAATCCATCATCCATCATCCATCACCACCAAGTTTCTTGGACATACTCTGGGTTCGATCCTTTCGCTACACTCGCACCCATATGATTACATCTAGCGTGTAACAGGCAGGTGCAGCTTCCAGCTCTTGTCCCGGGCGGTAAGCTTGTGGCACGCCTCATTAGCCACTCGACAGCCCCAGCCCTGTCAACGCCGACAAGTTACTCCCTGGCATTTGGAGTTGGGTCAGGGCAGGCAGATAGGCTTCCAGACGTCCACCGGTGAACACATGCACTCTGACTGTCGCTCATCGGTTCGGAAATCGAATAAGCAATGTGTGCGACACGTCGCTCGGAGAGTATCTGGGACGGGCAGCTCGCATCAAGCTTTTGCTACTCTAAGAGCATGGATCCACCAAACATGGCGCGGCGACACGCACTGAAAGTTCGTTCAGCTGTGCCTCTTCCTTCCTGTTATTGCAATCAAAGTTGCCGCGACATGAGACTGCAATCCATGCACCAGGATTCTGGCACGTTGAGATCCACTGTATCGCTGGCGCGGTCAAGAAGGATGACGGACGACTCTTATACCTGATGCTGGGTGCACTGTTTGTAGCAATAGACCCCATTGTCTACCCGGGGCGTCCCTTCCTTGCCAGTACGTTGCCCTCCAGTTGGCACTACTCTTTCATTCTTCAGATTCACTGTTATGACTCTCTCTACTCACGAATCCAATGACGGAGGCTCGAGCGCATTGTTTCCACAGATAACGGTGCGGGTAGTCGGCTATGTATCCATCTCCATAGTGTCAGTGGCTATAATAGCCCGATGCTTGCTGCAGTATCTGCGACCGAGAAGAACAGCTGCACAAGACTGCTGCATGGCTTTTGCGTACGTTCTTTTTCTTGCGCAATGCATACTCTACATTGTCCTGTCGCCCATACGGGGTAAAGTGCAGGAGGTAACTGAAGGCAAGATGCCACGCTACCCTGAGCTTCCTCATCATGTCTATCTCATCGGCAGACTCATTTTTCCTGCGTTGATGTTCTTCTGGGCCATCCTATGGACTGTCAAGTTGGGCCTGCTTCTTCTTTACAGGAAATTAACTGTTGGGCTGCCGAGGGTGTACAATCGGATGTGGTGGTTCCTTGTCGTTTTCTGGGTCATTGTGAGTTTCCCCCTACATCTTGACAAGAAAACCACTGTATGCTGACATGACGAACAGTCACTCATTGGGAACTATGTCGCTTTTCTCACATCTTGCGTATCACTGCACAGCTTCTTCGATGGATCTGGAGGTTGCAACAACAGACTTAGGCAGTTCGTCAGCATTTGGTACTCGTTCGGTGCGGATACGATTACCAATATCATGCGTAAGCACTCTCGGCATCAAACCGCACGCTTCGAAATCGCTGCTGACGATCCCTAGTCATCGCATTTCCTTTGCGTCTTACGTGGAACCTTCAGATGCCGCGCACGCAGAAAACAGCTATCATCGTCTTATTTGCCAGCGCAGTATTTTGCATCTTGATCGCCACTCTACGCGCTGCCAATGTCACTGCGCATACTATCAGGACTGGCAAGACGATGGACGGTACATGGCTTGCAGTATGGAGTATGGCTGAGACAGCTGTCGGTAAGTCGCCTATGTGTCTTTTAGCTTCATCTGCTCCGTTGATCCAGTCGCTCAATACTGACACGAGTTAGCCATTTTGATCGGGCTTTGCCCCTCTTTCGCCGTCCTTCTCAACTCGGATGGCAGAACAACTCAGAAAGTCCATGGATGGAGCTACAACCTGCGTACCGTCGGCAGTGATTCAACACGCCATAAGCACAAGACGCCTAATGGATTGGATACTTTATGGACGAACATACACGGTAGCCAGGAAGAGCTAGCAGGAAAACAAGATGGTGCATCTGTCACTACGACAGCCGACCAAGATGAAGAAGGCCCGGGCATGGCTAGATGAGTGCGGACAAGATCATGGGAATAATGGAAGTTCGAGCTAGCAGCAGCTAGCACACCTGGACAGGCGCAGGGTATCACGTGGACGTAGCATGACCCATGGAGTATACAACGTGTCGAACTCGCGTGAAGGTACATGTAACGACTATGCATGACATCTACGTCATGTTTAGTACTCTACTACCGCACTACAAATTCGTATGTGTAATCGCCTGAGACCAGGTTCTCTTCATCGATCGTTGCGACTCAGCTCTACGTCTATTTCACGACGTTGGAGAAAGAAGCCAGTCTGGCGCTAGTGAGCCACATTCACTTCGTTTCTAAGGCTCACACTTAGCTTGTTTGGTATATCACGGGTTCTAGCGCAGTCCGCGAACTGCAAGTGACGCCGATCTCTCTACAATAGCCAAATTCTCTTCGTTCGCGTTCGCGATACAATCTAACGTGCTCTGGTTTCAACCACCCCTTCCATAACCTCTCCAAGCACCTCTCTAAGAACTTGCGGCTGTTCTTCCAGCGCACCTACATCTTCAGGCTAACACATCCCAGGGCTTTACCTCATATAACCGAGAGACTTTCGGTCAGCCGAAAAGATGAGCGCCAATCAGGACTACATATCGCCAAACGAGCACCTCCAGCAGTCCCTCCAGAACACTTCCGCATTCGAGGTGTTGGGCCACTTCTGCGGTATACCAGCTGTCGGCTCCCCCCAACGACTCAATGAGGCCGCCGTCGTCTGCATCGACGCAGAGTGGTGGCAAAAAGAGCCCAAACCCACCACCGAGCTCGGGATCGCAGAGCTTATGCAGAAGGGACTAACCCCGACCATCCACGCCGAGAATATCCTCTCTAGCATCCAAGTCGCGCACGCCCGCATCATCGAGAACGCCCACCTCACCAACAGATTTCCCGGCGCTGGAGACCCCGATAACTTCCTTTTCGGTAAAACCAAGTTCGTTACCATGGAGGAGGTGAAGCAGGTTCTGATCAACACGTTTGTGCGACCGCGGGAATACGGAGACGGGTCTGACCTGCAGCCCATCATATTGGTCGGCCACGCTGTAGAGAACGAGTTCGAGCATATGCAACGCGCGTTCGGCGTCGATCTACTGAGCTACGGTACTATCGTCAAGGTCATCGACACGCAGCTCATGGCGCAAGAACTGGGTATCAAGGCGCCACGAGGACCGTTCATCGGCCTGAAGGACCTTCTCGCTCACTTCAACATGGTTGTACCCAACCTCCACACCGCCGGCAATGACGCAGCAGCTACGCTCATGGCCGCCGTCTTACTTACCCTCAAGCCTTGGATGTATCCAGATGTCCCCGGCTCGCCACCCGCCGTTGTCCAGGGTCGCAGTATGTCAGAAGTGGTGGCTGGAGTCATGGAGATGGGACAGTCGTTATCGCCGCCACCCTGGGGAGAGCTCGTGTATTGCATCCGATGCGATCACAAGAGTCATCTCGCCAAGTACTGCCATACCGCTCTCATCTGTCAGATATGCAGCAATTCGGGCGTCAAGAGACTGTTTGGTGCGCGAAATACACACAAGACTACCAGGTGCATGTATCAGTATTTGCCGATACCGCCAAGGGACTATGGATTTGGAGGGCAGTAGATTGAAGAAGTCCATAGGGGCAGAGGCGAGAGATGAGACCAAGGATACGTTTGAAAGGACTACCGGTAGAACACCCAGGTAGCTACGCAGCTACGAATGAAACCATCACACTGGCGTACAAGTCAGACCCCACCCTGGAGCCTCCATCAACCGTGGGCTATCTACTTTGCATGTGTTCATCTTGATGCAGGCTCTAGACCTGTTCAGTTTTCCTCGATGCCACATAGCTGCCCTCACACCAGCCCGCCCCATCTTCTCAACGGGGCCCAAACGCACACGACCCCTCCATATGCGTCCCAGCATTCTTCCTCCTCCACTCCTGAACTGCACATTTACACCTCCTACACTTCAAATCCGCATTGTGACACTCCAAAAACCCATGCTCACCACTCCCACATCTCCAGCAAAAGACTTCCACGCCAACAGGCGGCGCCGGCGTGGGCCAGTTCATCAAGCTTTGCACCACAAACGCCGCAGACTTGGAACTCGACTGGCCCACCCGCCCCGGCTTTGCCTTGGCATTCTGTAGAGACCCATAGAGCTCGAAGCGGAGGGTGGAGAGGATAGCGACGATGGTGGCGTACATGGCTGCGTTGCCGCTGTTCTCGGAGTGATATACTGGGACGCTGAACTGTCTGAGGAGGTATGCGAAGTCTGCGTCTGCGTGGCGCGTGATTTTAGACTGCTGGGGTATGATTTGCGCATCGAGACTCGCTACCGTGGTATCCAGAAGGGTTGGGTCGAAGTCGAACGCCGTCTTGCGTACCTTGCTGATGCTATTGTTGGAGCCAAAGGACATGTATATGATGGGTCGGTAGCCAGAGTCCTCGTTCTGCTCGTCCATGGGCTGGTGCCAGATTTGTTGGAGCAGGAAGAGGGCTTCTTCTTGGGACACGTAGACTGCTGTGCCGAAGTGGAAGGGGTCGAGACCGGTAGCTGTAGAGTCCAGGTGCGCGGTGGAGCGGATGACGAGGTGAAGGCACCATACTTTGCGTAGCAAGTCTTCTGCGTGCGGGCCAGCCATGATAGGCTGCCCTTGGTTGATGCTAGATCGGTCGTAGGTGGTGATTCCAAGTTCGGTGAGGCGATACGGTGGGTGAGCTGACCATTTGCGGTGGAGGACGACGAGGACAGCGTCGCAAAGTAGGTTTGGAGCAGTTGTCGACCTTCCGAGGTATTTGTGCAGGACATCTTTGTCTGGTAGCGCAGCCAAGGCGTTGCGAAGGGTTGCTAGCTTTGCTGACGTGGATTTTGACATGACTTTTAAGCTGCGCGATGTTCATGGGTAGCAGAGAATAAGCGGCAGGAAATCTGTGTAGGTGAAGCGTTCGTCCGTTTGATGCGGCACTTTAAGAGACTAGTGCCATTGGAGATGAAGCTGACAGTGAGAGTGAAACTGAAGATGAGAAAGAGGTTGAATTAGATTCTGGTTTTCGCATTCTGCTGCTGCTCAGCGCAGCACATCTTTCTCGTTGCAGTCATGGCCTTGTGTAACCATCACGATCGTAATCCAGTCAAGCCTGAGTCTTTTGGACTTTTTTTGATGCCGAAGGAAAGTGTGTTGAGTTTGCATCTCGTTGCTAAATGATTGTGTACGCCATCATAGCTTGTGGCTTTACTTGTCCAGGTGTTCTTGGCTTCATCGTCTGCACGTTTTGGTGACTCAAAGGGAGCTTTGATATCAGATCGCGGCTATCGGCTGACGAAAATTCATCGATCTGAATAAGATTTCACCGCTATGATGGGTGTGCCCGAAGACGCGACCTTGGTGCTCTCCATCGCGGAGGTATGAGGAGAGAGGATTTCCCGAGGTCGGCTGGATGGTAGCGCAGCCGCTAATTCATGAATGGCCTAGCTCTAATTACCCTTACTAATCCCAGCGCATCCCCGCCATAGCTCCGCGAACCCTCAGAATCTGATCTCTTCAGCCTCATAATTGTCCGCTGTCGAGATAGGCCGCCCACTCAAATTTCATTATGTCGTCAGCGCCACCCAAAACCATAATTGATCTTCCGATCGAACTCATCGAGATGATCGGAATGAATCTCATTGAATATGCTCCATACAACGATTCCGTCGCAGCAGTCATACCGCGATTACTGGTGGGGAGTTGCCAGGCAGTGTACAACACCCGTCTAGCATGTCGAGGTCTCAGTAACGCTTTAAAAAAAGCATTCCTAGAGGTCCTACATGATGTACCCTTCCAATGCACTGAGGAGCATCTGGGCCGTTTGACGCGGTTGTTGCAGCTTGCCTGGGTGTCGCAGTCGTTCAAACAGCTCACTATCGGCGGTGCCAAGATAGCCAAAACACCCATACAACGATCCTGGGCGGTCTGGATACAGGACCATCTGGCGGACGCTTTCAAGACAATTCTCAGCATTGCGCCTCGTTTGGAAAGCATTAGATGTGTCCCAATCTTTGAGTCTTTTAAGCCAAACGATCCCCGTGACGCTTACGACAAAGATACCGCCGACGAAACTATTCCCGAACGAAGGCAGGGTCCCTTTCGTTCTGTAGACATCTTTAGAGTACGTTAAAGCACCCATCTTTTCCCCAGATAGTCCCAGTATAGAGGCTAATACGTGAACGTAGAAACTTTACACATCGATACACGAAAGCGGACACGCGGAAACTCTGATGTCGCTTTTGTTAGGATCCGACTCCTTGGGAACATTCAGACTTGGAGCGCCCGGTGAGACATTGTACCGCGGTCAGATAAGACTCTCCCCGTTCTTGGCAAAGCCATTACCTCATCTCCAACACCTCGTCCTCGACTTGGGATGTCTACGATACGGCACTGGCATTTCAAGTTCGACTCAGATGCCAGTCCTCGAGTCTTTGACGATCGTATACACAACGTTCCTCGACAACAGCGAACGGAATGTCGGACCGTGGCCGGAAGGAAACTTGGACCTTTTGGCAAAGACTCAACCCCGACGGCTCGTGCTTACCAGCTATAGGTACGTCACTTCGTGGCTACACGAGCCTCGAGAGAAAATTCTTGCTATTGTCCGTGCATTCAGCCACAGGCAAGGGCCACTACCGTGCTTGGAATTGCGAGACATGGATGTCGAATTGGATTACCATCGGGACGAACGGCCGATGCCAGCAGATACTTGGAAGTTCTCGGAGGACTTTCGCATCGCAGAGTTCAAGATTGCAAACGTGACGTGGTACCGACATGTAATCCATCGTGACAGTTCAGAGCGCCGTGGCTGGTGCAAGACGGGTTGGGAACTGTTTCCTCAAATTTGTGACGCGTCAGATGTCGTACGTGTACGCGTGTGTGACGAGTCGGAGCTCATTGAAGAAAGCTTTCTCGAAAGACCATATGAAGATTTGCATATTGATGGCAATAGCACGGATCATGATACCGAGACAGATCGCAGCACCACCGAAGACGGATTCGATGATTCAGACCGGTCCACAGACGAAGACGAAGATGAAGACGAGGACGAGGACGAAGATGGCGACGAAGACGATGACGAAGATGAAGACGAAGATGACGACCATGACAATGACGCAATGGACGAGGCATAGGCTATGATGGTTATGCATAGCCACTGCGATCGATTTGATACAAGGGGTCCATGTGCATAGTGTTGGCGCAGCTTTACGTTCGGTGACAGCTTCAACCTCCGCCAGGCTTCTTCAGCGCACCACCAAGAATACTTGGATCAAGCATCTTGGCTTCAGACACGTCGACACCACATCGCACCCACATGCTGCTCCAAAGCGCACCGACTGCTCTTTCTTCGGGCATGAAAACGACTGTATTCACGTACGATCGTGTCGTGTTATAGCAGTCTGGCATGTTGAATAGTTGCGCCTCGCAGTTGTCGCCTTTGTTCGAATAGAACACGCCGCATCGCGCTTCGCTTGGGAGAGTGATGCATGTGCCGTTCTTCCATGTTTCGAGGGGCGGTGGGAAATACGTCTTCTGCAAGAGCTCGCCGCGGCAGTGTTTAGGGCCGCCCGCGCCGGAGTACGTGAGGGCGAGGATCGGTATCTGTGGAGTGGTCGGCGGCCGAGGCTTAGGCGCGACGGACGGTTTTGGCGTAGCAATAGGCCCCAAGACACCTTCAGCACTCCAACTCGCGCTCATTTGTGGTTCCGGTGTGAAGCCAATCATCCCGTCCTGGGTTTCGGTCATCGTGGTGGGTACGAGCGTCGCGCCAGACACGATGCTGCTGCCGTTGTACACATCGCCGCGGTCGAAGTCTGTGCCGTTCAACAGCGCCTTCGCCGCGACGATATCATCGCCATCTCCGACTCTTGCAGCTTGCGCGAGGTTGATTTGTATGACTGGTGTGGTTGGTGCGCGTACTTCGATGGCGGTCGCTAGCGAGATTGCGATGAAGAGGAGGAGGGAAACGGACGACGCGATGAGGATGATGCGCCGCGGTATGGACGACATCGCGGTGGTATTACATTACTTTTGGAGATTTGCGAGGTTGAAGGGGTATGCGACAATGTCGAAGTTCGTGGGCGACGCCAAGGAAGCGTCGGGGGTCGCTACACTACGCGTTTCATCCCCATGTCTTCCCTAGACATCGTCGCAGGCATGCAGGCAATCTTTCCAGGCTTTCTTGATAACTGTATTCAGATTCCTTACCACTACTACATTCGGATGTATGATATTGCGCGAGTTCGCAATCTCGATACAGCAGCGGCTTAGACCGATATTTGTAGGTTCAGTCACAGGTCCGTCACTTGACCCTTCTACAGCTCGGTATCAGCCTTTATGGGCTATTGCTTATACTGTACACCTCAATTACATATGGGCTCTCCGTTGTCATGTAGCGAAAGCTGCACTAACGATTCGATATTGTCGTTACAATGAAAAGGGTAACGGCCGTCTTCCATTGCACGACAAAGCGATAGATTCACTGGAATGACAGCCATTGGTCTAAGCTCATGACAATACTTCTAGGTTTTGACGCGTATACACAGACCACTGGGTACTAATCTCCTGATCACTCGCTGTTGCCTAAGCACTGGTCAGTCCCCTGAGCGACTTACATCTCGATTAATTCCTGTCGACCATACTCAACCACCCTCAACCCGGAGATTCGTCTACCTTAAACCATTACCCTCGATATCGACGATTAACCTACGCCAAACTCATATACCTCTCGATGAAAGTAGGTGCAGACGAGACCCCGTCCTCGATTCCAGACATGGCTGCCGAGCTCGTAGACGCAAACCGACGAGCGCTAGCATTAGCCTTCAAGAAAACTGAGGCCAACAATTCGAGCACATCTGCCGCTCGACTTGAGATGATCAAGGCCGATTCTAGATACCATACGCTGAAGCGTCGCCAAAGGGTACTGCGTTATGAAGAATATACTGCTGCCAAACAATACAGCCAGTCTTGGTGTCAAAGCCTGTCTCAAGGTCTCTTTGATAAGCTCCCTCGCGAGTTGCGAGATATGATCTACGACCACCTTCTCCCTCATTCAGCAGAAGTGTCACTCCTGGGTCAGGATTGGCGCGTTTCCTCCGGCCCTAGATGGACGTTCAGCTCGTGGAACGACAGTGAACTCGATCCCATCCCTCATTATCTAAGGAGTGAGTTTATGGGCACGGCGTTTCAGAAAGAGATCTTGCAAGAACTCCACAGACGCGCAAAACATAGTATTTACCGCCCAAACGATGTGGAAGAGTTTCTGGAAAATGGCCTGCCGCTAGCATCACTTCCGGTCCGGGCTTTCGACTTCGTTCGCTCACTCACGGTAGAACTATCCTTCCAACCTTATCAGGACGTCAACAAACTCAGTTGGCGCAGAACGGGACATTTTGATCTTAGGCAACACCTTAAAGGAGATCCTCAGCACTTGGAATCTGTCGCTACCGAGCGTGACTTCAACGAAAAGGTCAAAGCGCTTGCTGTTATCGCCAAGATCAAGCAGTTGAACAAGCTCGAACTGCATATATCGATTTGCACCTGGACCACTAGAGTTGCGAGAGGCTTTGAGCGAGCTCTGGTTCCCTTTGTGCAGGATCTGCAAGACCACGGAGTGAAGGCTGACGGGGAAGTTCAGGCTATTCAGCCATATCGACGTGAATCCCGTCGTACCACTGAGATGTACGCTGGCTGGAAATGCGATTTTGCCAGAGTCGCGCTAGAACGCTACTAACTCAAGGCTGGTGTCTTCGTAAGTGACTAGCCTCATGGATACATTTCACACGCTTACTTCTCATAACTAGAACCTGTCTTGCATATATTGCGACTATCGATATGGTCGAAGCTCAATCCGTGTCGCCCCGGCTCAGCACAACAGTGTAGTTTCCACGCAGTCAATTATCGAGAGATTACGTCAGGACTATGCTCATGGTATGCTCTCGTCCGCCGTCTCATGACAGCATCAGGTAGAAACGCTGTTGATGTATGAGGCAGTACGAGAAAGGTCTCAACATAAGCGGCTAGCGATATATGTGCTGCTTGCTCACGACTTGGACGCATTGGATATATAAGATGAAGGATTTCTACTACTATAACAACTATTTGAGCATGCGATTCAGTTGCTGATTGCATAGCTTCCTTTGACGTATAGCTACGATGGCAATGTGAACCCGAACGTAAATTTTGAAGAGGTACTACATTTGAGACAATGATATACAGGCCACGCACGAGCCCTATACCATGTAAGATGCAATGATGCTAACCCCCTTCTGATCTCGCTGATTTCTGATCAACTCCGCCGCACTGTAGGCCCATTGAATACACATGCCTATAGCGCTCACTTCCCGCTTCTTAGTTGCCATCCTTCTGGAGTGTTAGTAGACACTTCTCGAAGCTAATCCCGATGACAACTTACAAACGCTTCAGCGACCAAGCTCTCCAGCTGACGCGTAGAGAGAAGCATGGTACTGTCATAAATGATCTTTTCCCGCTCAGTTGGGTATTGGTACATGTTCGCGCTGATGTACCGTACGGTTACCTTGCAACCCTTTTCCACAAGCTCTTGGATGTGCGGAAGCAGCACTGCTTTGTATTTACTAACTGTCGACGAGTGTAGGACTTTCACCTTGAGCTTGAGTGTAAATTTTGATACCTGATCAAGCCCCTTGAGGGTCGTGAGCCAGCTCAGCTGACTCTCGTAGTCTTCCTTTTTCCAGTTGTCTTCTTCCTTGCTGTACCAGATCCCTTCATTGGAACAGGCGATGTCCATAGACACAGTTACTTTGAGCGTTCGGATGTAATCTTTGGGTTGACAGGACGGATGAACAATCAGAGGACCATCTCTCAAAAATTGGGCCACGTCCTTGACATGTCCCACTTTATGAATGGCATGACGGTGGAAGAGCTGGGCAATTTCCACGGCGAACTCCTCACCCACGAACTTATCTCGAAAATAGTGTGCGAGTTCATCGTCGTTACCACGGCGTTGACTCCGTCCGCGACGGTCGATGGGTTGAAGGTGAAAGAAGTGATCGTTCATTGTGTTTGCCGGCAGAGGGACCTCAATTGGATAGATGGTGGCACTCGGACAGTCGCCGATAAGGTAGAGGTAGACTTCATCTCGCAGCTCCCGAGCGGTGACTAACTCCAAGAAGCGCGCGGTAAATTGACGATTCCATGCGCGCGAGCAGTCATCGGTTATCTTCTTATACTTACTAAGGAGAAATGTTATGTCAGTCATCAATCCATGACGCCGGGCGGCCCTGCACTTACGTTTCCAAACCCTGTTTCTCATGTTCAAGCGCACTTTGCGTAGTTTGAAGTGCATCTAGCTGCTTTTGCCGCTCTTCGATCTCTCTGGCAGTGGTATCACTTCTCCAAATGTATAGTCAGCTTCTTACCACAAAGATCAAAGAAAGTTGCTTACATCTTCTGGGCTTTCTGCAGTCTCTGTGCAAGGCTGCGAGACTGTCAGATTCTTTAATACTGTTTGTCGGTATCTCTCATGCCAACTTACAGCAAAATTGCCTGAGCCTTGGTGGTGAGTCGATCCTTCGGGGCCATTCCGTGAATGCTCTGTTGTTCAGGTAGTGTAGTGGCAAAAGTTGAAACGACAGAGGTATTCCAGACGATTGTGTTAATCTATATAGATTTATCGCGATGTAGAGTCGACGTGTGCTCAGTGTGTAACGTGACAGAGCCGCAAGCTAAGTAGGTGCATGCGTACTATGGTTTAGGCAAACACGGGGCTAGACGTAAGTGCGGGCGGTGTGAATGATGAGTCCACTCTAGTACTAACCCTCTTCTTAAAATGGACTAGATTGGGGAGCAAGAGACAGCCCAGCAGATATCGGATTATGTTAGCAAACTAAACATGAACATTCGTTTAGGCATCTTCTCCCTCAGCCTTCTCCTTCGCCTTATCCAAATCCAACGGCACCCTAACAACAATCTTGCCCCTCGCCCTCCCCGTCTTCAACTTCTCAAACGCCTTAGGCGCATCCTCCCATTCGAAAACCTCATCGACCACAGCTTTGACCTTCCCCTCCTTCATCCACGCTCCAATCTGGCTCAGCGCATCCGACGACGGCTTCGCCATCAACAACTGATAGCTGTTCTTGCCGCCGCCCAAGAATCCCGGCAACAGCATATTGGACCCCACATTCTTGATACTAGCAACGCTCATCCCCGCGCCGATTTGGACAAACTTGCCGGCTGGAGTGAGGAAAGCGGATGCGGCTTTGTAGAGGTTGGGTGGTGTGCCGATGTTGTCGACGACGAGGGTGTAGGTCTGGCCTTTGGAGGAAAGAGTTTCGATAACATCGCTGGTTTTGTAGTCGATGACTTCGTCGGCGCCTAGGCTCTTGCAGAGGTCGACGTTGGGCGTTGAGCAGGTGGTCGTCACGTGGCAACCCAGCGCTTTCGCGATCTGGATGCCGTACACACCCGTTCCGCCTGAGCCGCCGTTGATGAAGACTTTGTCGCCGCTTTTGACATTTGGGGCGATGGCTTGGTATCTGGTGATGGGGTTAGCATGGCTTTCAGCTGTGTTCTCAGGCTGCGCGGCCTTACTCGGTCAGCCCCACAATGCCAACGCCTGCTGCGTCTTCAACCTTCACGCTTTCTGGTAACCTTGCCAACATTTGTCTATCCACGGCTACGTATTGTGCCATGCTTCCTCCCGTAAGCGCACCAACCTTTGCGCCAAAGACAAATTCGCCAATCTGGTACTCGTCGACTTTCTTGCCTACTTTGGCGACCTTGCCGCAAAAGTCGGCACCGGGCGTGATGTCGGAGCCTACAAGTCGCAGAGGCATTGGGCCTTCGGTGACTTTATGGTCGACGGGATTGATCGCCATGGCGTGAACTTGGACCAGAATCTGCTCATCATGAAGCACTGGTTGTGGCACGGCCTCATTGATCTGGAGGTTCTTCTCGATGCCGCCATTGGTGCTGTTGTACTGCCAGGCCCTCATCGTGGACGCCATATTACTGTTTGGTCTGAACGGAGCTTGTCGCGATGGATTTCCGATAGATTTGGTGCCGACGATGCGCGCTGTCCTTGTTATCTTATAGCGTGGAAACAGGCATGCGTCATGACGATTTGCGTTGAGCGGGGCAAGCGCCACCGCCGTCTGTTAACACGAGCTTTGTGAGTAGACACCCATCTATCGGAGCTCCATTCAGGCGACCGAAGAAATCGCGCAGATTGAGCCTGGGTAGGACACCTACATCGTGGAATCCATTTAGGTGGGTATGCCTCCTTGCCCAATGGGTTGGCTTACTTGCGCTCGGTCGATCAAGGGGCATGCCCACATTGTCACCTAGCCCAATCGGGCGTACTCTGCGCAGCGACAGCAGTCTCATCATGAGTTCCGAGAAGGGATCAATATCAAGAGATGGTCATGAGCGAGATGATTATTTGTGTCACAATGGATTTTCAATTGATCGGTCCTGCACGTCAATGAGGAGCTGGAGGCCTAACAGCCGCAGCTCAGGCCGCCCTTTCGCCCTGCATGAAGCCTCTTACGCGTATGTGACAAACATCTGCTCAAAGCCAGTGACGTTCCACACACCGGTAATAGTGTTGAGTGTCAAGTTGGTTGGAGTGGTAGGACCACGTTGAAGCGCCCCACTCTCGACATGACCGCCTGCAGCAGCTACAGTTCCGTTGGTCCTCTCCAGATGATTGGCACCAGCCTTGACGGTGAAGTTTGCGAGGCTGATATCGAAGGGGTTGCGAGATGCGACGGATGGAGAGCCTAAACATCGTCAGCATGTGAGGCATGGTAAAGGTCATCATGTATCGACTTACCGTAGTACTGCGCATTGAGCTCCTCAGGAGAGATGAACAGCTCGTAGTACCCTCTGTAGTAGCCTTCAGTCCACTGAAGCTCCCGGTTATCACGCACAAGCGCTGCGGAACGGTCACTCGAGTTTGCAATCGATCTACCAGCGCCATAACCGCTGGATGAAACGGCCGTGCCGGCAAACTCGACGCCGATGGCACCAGCACCCGTCGCCTGGTCGTATGGGGTCTCGTCGAGCCAGACAAGATCAGACACCCAGTTGGCATGAGAATCGCCAGCCAAGAAGGCAGTGTTCGGGATCTCGTTGCTGTAAAGGTGATGAAGAGTGCGGTTGCGGTTGGCGGTGTATCCGTCCCACTGATCGGCGTTCAGCTCGTTGCTGTACACTGCGCTGTTGTTCATTCGGGAGAAGATAATCTGGTTGCCAATGATCCTCCAGGTAGCACCGCGTTCATGCGACTCGGACAGCTGGTTGTAGAACCAGTTTTCCTGGCGGCTACCCATGAGCGAGCGGCCAGCGTCATCCTTGAGATCCTCGATGTAGCCGTCGTTCCAGTTAAGTGTTGTAATAGATCGGTCGTAGTTGCGGGTGTCGAGCATAATCAGATCGAAGAGTTTGCCCATCTTGAAGTTGCGCCAGATGCGGAGGTTGTCATCCATGTCGACCTGGCGAATGCTGCGGTGGTTATTAGCGACATCAGGAACGGCCAAAGCGAAATACTTACGGCATCCATTCAAAGTAGGCACGGACAGCGTTCATCTTCCTTGAGTCAACGCTGACTCCTCCGAACTTCTTGAAGCTTTGTTCAGTGTTGTTCATGCCGCTAAAGCCATCGCGATAACCGTTGTTTGCAACCTCTGTCCATCCGTTAGTTGAGTAAAGGGGTGCCATGCTAAGCAACATACCATGATCATCCCATGTTGGAATCCAAGCAAAGTTTTGGTGAGCAAGGCGAAGGTCGTCATCAGTGCGATACTGGCCAATACGCGTTCGGTAGTCTTTGAGACGAATTAGTAGCTGTCAAATTCAAGCATCAGTTGCGTACGAACCGTATAGTGTGACAATCTCTCGCGACGGGTTCGTGGCGCGCGGGTCTTGGCCGAGCTTGCCCTTGGTGGACTCATAGATGTAATCACCAAGATGAACCTTCATCTCCAGATTAGCAGAGTCACAAATGCGCGTAATCATCGTACTTACGAAGAAGTCAACTTGATCTTTCCTGGCAGCATTGCCATATGCGTTGAAGTAACCGTTCTGCCAGTTGGAACAGGAGAAGATGGCAAGACCAACTTTGGAAACATCGTCGTCTTCGTCGGGGCTGGTCTTGGTCCTGCCGAGTGGGCTCTTGTTGGAGCTACCACAAACGTTGAACTGGTAGTAGTACTGGGTGAATGGGGACAGGTTCTTTGCTTCAATCTTCTCAGAGTTAGCTTGTCACTCGACAAACCCGCCGCTTAGATCTTACCTTGACGGTGAAGTCGATGTCGGAAGTGGTGTATGCTTGGCCTTGATCGACGATGCTGGAGAAGTTGCCGTCCGTACCAACGCGGTAGTCCACGCAGATAGGATTAGGTGAAGCCTTGATGTACTTCTCTGTCTCGTGGTTGTAGAAAGCTACATTACCCGTAACAGTCACGTTAGATCTGTCGTTCTCGAGAGATGGCGCAATGCGTGTCCAGAGAACGACAGAGTCGGGATAAGGATCTCCAGAGGCGACGCCGTGCGTGAAGCTTAGCTGAGTCGGATCCCATGGAGTCGCCCGCTTGATGAGACTTCTCTTTGCGACCTTCGGTACATCGATGCCAAGGCCTTCGTGTCGGCGAGAAGGCGAGTGGTAGTTCAGGTTGCCATCGAAAGATGCACACACGAGCGAGGCTAGAGGCGCCGCGGCAAGAAGGATTGAAAGCATTGCGAGGATCGAAGAAGCTTCGGTGACTCTCTTCTTACTTTCCAAAGTCCCGAGACTTCAGAAAGCTTAAGTACTTCCATCGCACTTCAACGTGCCGTCCTTCGCGTACAATTTCACCGCCTTCGTACTACTCCGGCCGCCAACATTACCGCATCGTGCATTCAGTACAGTTCTGACAGCAGCTGTGGCCAATCGCATAGAGTGCATTGTAAGTGTGTAAAAGAGTGCCTGTTGATCGTCAACCGCGACATATGCACGATGCGCATGTGCCGGGAGGATGAGCTGAGATTGGCCGAGCGCGACTTCATCCCGCTGGACAGGCTAGCCCGTTGTGGGGATGTGCAGCGCGTCGAACGTCGTTGATCCTGGCATGACATACAGTATGTGAGGAGTCAACGCGACGATGCGGAATTGTAAGGTGAAGTCTTTGGGGTGACAGGAGAAGAGGGGTGGAGGGTTGCTTGGCTTTCCAGCTCCCAGTCCGCGGAAAGAGATGGCGCTAAGATTAGAAGGGTTTAGCGCCAACCGCGCCGCATGCTAACCCTGGAGAACTCCATCGTCCATTCCTTCGACATCCACCCCGTCTAGCTTTCCGAAGAACTCCTCGATCTCTCTCTTTCCTGACATACACTTGCTGTACGTACGAATCGCATTGCAGATCTTGCCTTTCTTTCGATGCCCAATTCTCCGCTTCTAAAGCGCTTGCTTGCTTCTCTATCTTGATTCAACCAATCATTGCATCGTTCACACCCCGCCGTACACGTTCCCGTGTTATCCACGTTGCATCGTCGGAACTTCATTCGAGCAAGAGCTATCACGGCATCGCTGATGTCGTTGTACCTATGCCGACCACGGAATGTTTAAACATGGAACATTACTGCTGCGTGGGAAGCCCCCCGGCTTGCCTAGACCCTTCACGCTATGCAATGCGGTACCGCTTCATAAAAGTACCAGTCCCTGTCTTCTTCCTGGAGTTCGAATGAAACACACCATCTTCTCCAGGGAGGTGTATCAGCCTTTACCCTTTTCCAACCGGCGTGAGCTCCGGGACTATTACATTACGAAAGAAATGAGGACCAGAACGATCCTCATCTCCGGACCCAGATTTGCCATCGAGCAGGATTACCGGCGATTGTTAGAGGATCATGGGTTCAATCCGGGAATGCTTCTATCGATCTATCGCTGGAATGGGTTGATTAGGTCTTACACGGTTTTTGCAGTCATGCCTACTGTGGAGGATGTGGCCCGAGCTGTCGTAAACGTTGAAGGTGCACTCCTTTTTGACACCAAAGTCCGCGTTCAACTAGCCTATCTTGTTGAGAGATCCTTCTCCAAAGTACCACAGATCGAGTGGGGCTGGTATGCTACGAGTGGGCCAGGCATCGAGAATATACGGTTGCGTGCACCTTTGCTGTCCCCACCGGTCGATATATTTAGGCCGATCAAGGAGGGTACGTTCTGCCTCCATTGTGAAAGCAAATAAACGTTGACTAATCTGGTTCAGCCCGCCAGGTACTTGTGACAAGTTTTCAGGACGTAAAAGTCCGGGACTTGCGACTGGAAATTTATAATCTGTTCCACTCTTTTGATGTGGATGTCTTTGAAATAAGCTGATTGAAATCGGGGCAATGGTTTATAATTCTCAATTTTGTTAATGCTGAGCAAGCAGAGATCGCTCGAAAGACGTACAGCACGTACACGTTACCGAGCGGTAATCGAATCAAGTGTGCATCTACGAGGGTACCAAAGCACTTCTTAAAGGATATGCCTTGGGCATCCAGTCGGAGTGAAGGGTGAGTCGCTCACCCGCACAGTTTTGGCCGCGATACTAATGGTGTCTTCACTAGGCGTGAGTCCCACTCCGAGCGAGGTCTAGTCACGGGTAAAAACCTCGAGCATGTAAGCCATCATCCTTTTACTGTCGCCGCTCTTCAAAACAGCGAAGTGGACATTGCTAACCCAAACGATAGCTGCAAGAGGATGTGTTTCGCAAGTGGTTATTGGGCAAGAAGGATCGAGGCCTTTGGGTTCCTGGGTATGATGCCAGTGTACTTGACGAATACCGGCTAATTGCGACGACAGGCACAAATACTAGACTAGATAGCAATGCAAATCTCTATCAGGAAAGTTCTAGACATACATTACATGTAACAACCACGCAAATTACACTGCTTGCAACGTTTTAAGATCTGCTAACATAAGGCGTGGCATGATGGCTACATACACATCACCCCCACAAAGCTACTCTATTCCACTAGTCAACCTTATAAACAAGCTTGACACCCGAAACCTTCCCATCCTTCAAATCCTGTAATCCCTGCGGCACACCCTCCAACCCACTCCTCACCTCAATCGGATGCGTCTTCAGCTTGCCTTGGCCAAACCACTCCTCAGCCTGCTTCCAGAACCTAGCACCAAATTCGTAGTCCTCTTGACTAGCGCCAACCTTCTCACTGTACGCCTCGCCCAGCGCCGTGTAAGCGAACGTAAACTTGGTCTTCACATCGCTCCTCGGGTAGTTGTTCACGGGCAGAAGAGCAGACATGTGACCGCCCGTGGAGCTAATTGCCGCAGCGGTGATGTCGAATGAGTTTCCTTCGGCGATACAATCGAAGGCCAGTTTGAGCTTGTCGTTGGTAGCTTCGCGGATCTTAGCGCCCACATCAGCGTCTTTGTAGTTAAAGACCTGGTCTGCGCCTAGTTTGCGGAGGAGATCGAAGTTGTGCGGTGAGGATGTTGCGATGACCTCGCAGCCTGTGTGCTTTGCGTATTGAATGGCGAGGGTACCTGTTGCGGTGGAGCCGCCATAGATGAGGACGGGAGTTGGTGATTGGACCTTTGCAGGCGGGAAGGGTAGGCCGAGCTCTTGGTAGAGGCCTTGAGCTACGGTTGTGATGCCAACGCCTAGAGTGGCGGCATCTTCGAAGGACATGTTGGAGGGGATCTTTAGATTGATTCCGGTCTTGGCTTTTACGTGCTCGGCGAAGGCGCCGTTGGAGTGGTCTGCTGGGTCGCCTAGGGTGTGTTAATAACCAGCTTCTTTGCTGTTCAGTGGTGTTCGTACCTCCGCGAACAAATCCAGCAATGCGGTCTCCAACCTTGTAGTGTGTTACATCCTTGCCAACTTCCTCAACTTCACCAGCATAATCGCATCCAGCAATAGCACCCGGCGCCGCGGCCCTATCGATGTTCTTCCAATCCGTCGGGTTCAGTGCTACAGCCTTTGTCTTGACAAGCAGCCAATTCTCAGCCGGAAGCTTAGGAATAGGGACGTCATTGCGCAGTTCAGATACGCCTTCAGAGACGTGTACAACTGCTCTTTGTGTAGACATGTTGCGTATGTGAAAAGAACTTGGGATTCTGGTATGTAAGTTTCGGAATTTGGTGAGATGGGTGAAGATGGTTTTCATGGTTTATAAAACTAGACTGATTGAGATCCATTTCTGCTATGATGCAAGATGTACTAGTGGATTTGTAATGGGAGGGGACTACCGCGTCATGCAGCCTTCTTTGGGACTACCCGTGGACGGGCGGAGCGGAGTATGTTCGGCGAATTCTGTGGAGCATGCTGAGTATACTGGAGGATTAGTATCTGGCGATTGACTGTGAAGTATCGCAAGTATCGGTATGGCATGACATGGTTTTTGATTCAACAAGTGTGTGGCGAATGTGACAAGCCCGTTGTGGTAGTGGGTGACGGTCGGTAGATGTGAGTTGGAGGGTCCAAGCTCGGGCTCTGCGCTAAAGCCTGGCGCAAGGGTCCAGCATCGCGACAGCTCCACGCGCGTAGCTTTCCTACTCTAACCCCAGCATATACAATTGTCCTGAAGCTTGTCAAGTGCTTAGACTTCGATTGCGACCATGGACGAACCTCAGCGACCGCCAACGCCTGATGACGAAGACATCAAGCTCAACTTCTTCCCCGACCCCCCGCCTTTCTACAAGCACTTCACCACCGAAAACCTCACGCGACTCAAAGAAATTGAGAAGGAAGCTGCGCCCGAAGATGACGAAACGAAATCACCGCCCTCATATCCATCGACGAAGCTCACCGCAGAGCAAATCCTCGCCCTACCGACCGAACTTCGCTACCTGATCCCACCCGAACCGCCCGCCGACGATGCCGAATTCCACGTCTTCGGTACAAAAGAAAAGGCAAAGGGCAAAGATGTCTTCCAGCAGAACATGGACTTCATAGCCGAGCAGCTGAAATGGCAAGACGTCTTCCCAGATTGGACGTACGAACAACTCTACCCTTCCTCCTCCACCGAGTCCACGACCGACGACCCCTCCGCGCAACCACCTACGGCGAACAACTCCGCGTCTCTCGACCGGCAAAACTACCTCTTCAGGTTTCTGCGCAGCATACTCATGAGTTACATATCGCTACTGGGCATCGTGGCCGCGAACCCGACGTCAGAGCAGAAGGATCAGAAGCTCAAGGATATTATGACGCTGGTTGCGAATATACATGCGCTTATCAATGAGTACCGGCCGCATCAGGCGAGGCAGACGCTCATTGCGAAGATGGAGGAGCAGGTGCGCAAGAAGAGGGAGGAGGTCGAGGGTGTGAGGAGGATGGGGGAGAAGGTCAAGGAGGTGCTTGCTGGGTTTGGTGGGGTTGATGGAGAAGACAAGTCGGGTTATGGGGGTGAAGAGACTATGGAGGATGATATGAGGGCGAGGGAGGAGGACAGAAGGCGGGTGCAGAGGGGCATGTGGGAGGCTATTGGTGAGGTCGTAGGATAAGACGCGCCATATCAGGCAATTTTCAAGACGAGTGTCATTGTTATACGTGGCAGCGGAAGCTGGTGTCTGCTGTCCACGCGCGATCGATGAGTTCTGCCCGTACCCCTGAAGCCGGCACACAACGTGTCTGCCGCATCAGCGCGAAGAAGCGTCGGGGTATCTGTGATAAACACCGCAGACGTTCAACCTCAGACCCACTGCGCCTAGTATACATCGCAAGCAAGCAGCCGCCCTGCTGGGGTCTGGCAAAGTGCTGGGCATCTAGCCATGGATTGCTCTGGATTACACCGACAACATAGACACCTACAATGACCCATTCTTCCACATACGACCATAGGATCATGAAAATTAGGCTTCCCGTCCGCTCAGCCATATACAAGCATGATACCGGCGGATTAGTAGTTAGGTGGGTGACCACTAGCGAATCCCCGCTGTTGTATGTTTTTGACATTTTTTGCCAGTTCATCCATCTTTTTGCTCCCCCGGCTATGACGTCATAGCACCTGCCGCCCAGGAACACCAATCCAGCAGCTCCCCAAGGTTGGCCCATGATCATTCTCAGCCACATCCAAAGCCACATTTTTTTGATCAGCTGTTTCTCCATCGTTCATCTCATTGTTTCGGAACCTCCCGCTGTCGCATGCGCCGGTTAATGTTGTGCTTGTGACACCAACGTAAGGCTGAACGGATTCCAAGGTTGGCACGCGCTCAGCCCTGGTGCGCAGACCGCCAAATACTCGATAAAGAAGGCAACCACAGCTGAGTCTTTGGGCGAGTTCAGCCTCTGACCGACTTGTCTTCAGCCTACAGACGCCTAGAGATAAGCAAGTAAGACGGGGAGGATTGCTATTTATCCACACGCGACCGCGTCATTTCTCTCAAGTCTCTACGCGCTTCTTTGGTTTACCAATTCACGTTTCGTTAATCTTCTAAGTCTGCGCTGCGCGCAACTTTTCCTTACCAACTCTTCGCCATGCCTTCCACGACTTCAACGAGGCCAAGTAAACGCCTAGCCATCTTCTGCGACGGAACATGGGTAGGTCGCGAAACCCAAGTCGAAGACGCGCCTCCAAGCAACATCCGCCAACTCGCCAACATGGTCGGCGAAGTACAATACTCCACCGACGACAAGACAGCCGCAAAAGTCCACCACATAAAACCGCATAAAACAACAACCAGCAGCTCGACCCCCGACATCATCGCCGGCTACCAGGAAGGCGTAGGTCTTAACAAGACCTTTCTGCAGTACATCTGGGACGGCGCAACCGCCTCCACCATCAGCGACGAATGCATAGCCGTCTACCGCTTCATCGTCGAAAACTACACACCCGACCATGAGATCTGGTTGTTTGGATTTAGTCGCGGCGCCTTCACCGTGCGTTGCGTCGCCGGCATGATCAACAACTGCGGCATCATAAAACGACGTCCCGAATACTCCGACGCCGAAGTCCAACGCCTCTGCTACGAAGTCTTCCGCACTTACCGCAGCAACCTCCCTGTCGACGCCCCCAAAAGCGAGGAATGCCAACGATGGAAAGGCCTCGGCGATAGAGTATGGCAGGTCAAACGGCCAATCCGCTTTATGGGGATTATAGATACAGTCGGCGCACTCGGTATCCCGCGCCTGAACGCTGGAATAGGATTCGACTGGTCCCCCTTCGAGTTCTTCGATCAAACCGTTTCCAGCGTCGTGCAGCACGTGTACCACGCGCCCTGTCTGCACGACCGTCTTTGGATCTTCCAGCCTTGTCTCGTGTACCCCAACGAAGACGACGAAGAGGAGAAGGACAGAGCCGTGGTAAACCAACGCTGGTTCCCAGGCACCCACTACGACGTCGGCCGCATGACTTTCCGCTTCGTGCGGCAAAGCCCCGCGAACTGGATCGAAGATGCACTGGGCTGGCTTCCGAATCTCCTCTCGCGGACTATCTATCCGAATGAAGTGCTCAGCGATGCGGTGTTACGGTGGTTAGTCCAGGGGGTTCGCGACGTAGACAACGATTCCCCCACCCCGTTAATGCCTAATACCGAGCAACACATCTCCACTCTCAGCACGCGGCTTGGCGAATCTTCGTTAGCATTGCCAAAAGAGCCTGCAGCACCGAGTGCACGCACAGGAAGCGGCGACATCTACGGCGACGTCCTCGCCTACGCCCCCGGCGGCGTGCTCTTCAGTGCTATTCAACGGACTTCCCGCTCCATCACTGCTACCCTGAACAACATCTTCCCCCAACTCGGCGACAACCTGCAGGGCCTACTGGGTATAAAGACGCTGGTGGGTATTCTGACGGCGACGGCCGATCGCCGGATACCGGGGACGCAGGCAGATGTTTATCCGTATATGGAGGAGGAGAGTGTGGTGGTTGAAGGAGGGAGGGAAGTTAGGTTTAAGGTGGAGGAGTTGGCTAGACTGAACGAGAAGAATGAGAGGGGGGTGTTGAGGTATCCGAGTCAGACGCTTGAGGCGTTTTTGTTGTGGAAGAGGGTTTTTGGGAGGGAGGAGAATGAGTGACGGTAAGAGAGTGGTAATCGAGGGGGTTTTCGGCTTTACTGTAGATATTGTGGTGGTGATAAGGGTATATATTGTTTCTTAGTTGGCTTCAATATGGCTTCGCTTTACTTGCTCTTGTTCATCTGGAAAGCAGCTTCATTCGCAAACGCCTTCTTGTCAACGACTTGATCCCTAGTTAAATATCTATTAGATTCATTCTATACTCTAAATATATCCATCATCAACGTAAAAGAAACCTTTCATCTTGCACAAACACATTTCGTCCCCAATGAAACACGATGGAGGCAAGACTTACTTCTTGCCACGGCCTCCGAAACCCCATCGAATCTGATTCGCCCAGCGTCCCTCAACACCGAGATCATCAGCGCACTGCCAGACGAAACCAGGGTTCTTCTGGAACATGCGACCGATGAAGGCAACGTCGAGGTTATCGTTCTCCAGATACCCGTTCGCTTGCTTGCCATCGGTGATACTGCCCACGGTGCCGACCGCCATCTTGTCTCCCACCTTGTCCTTGACTGCCTTGGCGAACGGCTCCTGATAACCTGGCCCACCGTGGATGTGCTGTTTCTCGTGGAGACCACCGGATGAAACGTCGAGGAGGTCTACGCCCCGATCAGCGAGTATCTCAGCGAGTTTGACAGTCTGGTCGACGGTCCAGCCCTCGATGCCGGCTTCGTCGAGCCAGTCTGTTGCACTGATGCGGAGAACAAGTGGCATATCCTTAGGAATAGTCTTGCGGGTTAAGTCGACGAGCTCAAGCGTGAGGCGCGTGCGGTTCTCGAAGGAGCCGCCGTATTCGTCGGTGCGGTGGTTGGAGGCGGGGGAGAGGAAGGTGTGCAGCAGGTAGCCGTGTGCGTTGTGGATTTCGATGGTGTCGAAACCGATGTCTACGGCGCGCTTGACGGCGTCGACGAAGGCTTGCTTGAAGGCTTCGATGTCTTGTTTTGTCATCTCCTTGGGCGTGCAGTGCTTGTCGTTGAAGGCGATGGCGGAGGGCGCGTAGACGTTGTCGGGCCAGCCGTTTAGTTCCTTCGTTGCGATGTCGCCTTTGCTGAGCCACGGGGCGACGGTGCTGGCTTTGCGGCCAGCGTGTGCGAGTTGGATGCCGATCTTCTGGCCTTGAGAGTGCGCGAATTCTACGATCTTGCGCAGCGGCTCCTTTTGCGAATCTTTCCAGAGACCGCAGTCTTCGGGTGTGATTCTTCCTTCGGCTTGTACGGCGGTGGCCTCGACAAATGTCAGACCGGGACCGCGCTGGATGATACCGCCCAAGTGTGTGAGGTGCCAGTTCGTCTGGTGACCGTCTTCGGCGGAGTATTGGCAGAGAGGGGAGAGGGCGAGGCGGTTCTGGATCGTCATGCCACGGAGCTTGAGGGGCTGGAAGAGTTTAGGGATCTTGGAGCTGCCGTCGAGCATGCCAAGGGCTGTTCCGGCGACGGGCTCTTGTGCGGGAGTGAAGTAGGGGATCTGGATGGGTCAGCTAAGCAAAGGCATGGGGCTTGGATGTATGCATACACCAGGAGCGGCCTTGTTCCTCAACTCATCCTGCTTGGGAACCTGTTCGCTGTTCTTATCCTCGGGGATATCCTTTGCGATCGCATGATGCGAGTGCGGCTTGTCGGTATCAGCCTCGATTCCCATTATGGCGGTTGTCGGTATGTAGAGTTGGATGTGTGAAGTGTGAGGAGTGTTGTGTCGAGAGTCCGAAGCTCAATGGATATGGAAAGTGGAGGGTGGGTGGACAATGGCATCTTTATACGCTCCTGCCATTCTTCTCGAAAGTACCGGCATGACGTGCGTGTTTGGACATTGTTACCATAGAACCCCAGCGGCGGGGCATCTTTGGCGCCCCGCCTTCCCCGTTCGGCATGGTTTGTCACTAGCAGTCCATCATCGCGCTGCACCCTGATTTGTAAGACGCACGTTGTCGCATTCGCCGATAGGCGTCGGGTAGTCGAGTGTGTTGTTGAGAGCGCGCGTAACTGAGCGATGGTTTGCTGTACTTTGGTTGAGCCAGTTAGGAGTCTGCTAGGAAGCTTAGACATGTGCTGACAGAGATAGCCGAGTAACATAAGCAATCCTTCTCATGATCTGCATGCATCCGTCATGTTGTACGCTATATAGCCTGGAGCTTGTTCGCCTCTTCTTCGGAATACCTAAGCGTTTGTACTTGTTCGCTACTTACTGAGCTTCACGCATCATGTCTCAGAAGCTGGAAAGGCAGTCTTGATCTTCCTTACTAAGCATGATGATATACCCGGCGGCTACTTGGCCATTGCGACGCGGCTCAAACTCGGCCCAAGCCACGCCGCCGAACTCTACCGCTCCAAGCCATTAGTGCTGGAATCGATTCTGTCTCACCGACTTCCCAACACAGTATACCAAGTCTTTTACGCTGGTATTGACCCTGCTAAATATGCGACGAGCGTAGAGCGTAAAGCTTCGTTAACCATGGCGTCTTGTCAAGCTTTCTCTCGTGTAAGCA